CGCCGATTCTGCCCTTGCGGTCACTCCTGTATATTTGATATTCATTTGGAAGAATTTCGGAATTAAAAATATGAGGTTTGAGCCATGTTTCGGTCAAGGAAATAATATTATGATTGCAGTCAAAACCTTTTAAATATAAGTCAGTTAATTTGGTATTCAAACCTCTAACGTTTTGATAGTAAATACTTAAGTTAGACTTACGTGTTATTTTTTTGACTACGAATTAAGATTAGAAAGTTTAGCTACCTTGTTATTACTTTTATTAGGTTTATACTCAAACTCGCGAACAAAAGCTCCGGTCGGCCAAAATGAACTATTTAGTATTGAATCAAAATCTTCGGCAGCTACATCAATTTTAAAAGATGAAATATCGCGATGGTATTTAAAATTAAATTTACGAATAAATACATCTTTAGTTCTAATTTTAGTCGATATGTATGACTTTATATCATCCGAAGATCTTCTCGGAGGAATTACAACCAACTTTTTGGTAATGATGTTTGATATTCGGGGTTCCGAATCATTCGGAGGAACTAAGTTAGACAGTGCAGCTTCGAATGTTGATGGCAACACTGTTAAATCAACGGTTTGTTTGACGTTATTATTTTTAAATGCAGACCTAGTGGATATGGCTTTAGATAGCGGAGGCTCCAATGCCTGAGGGCATGGAGAAGAAAGATTAATAAGTTCCAAGGACTGGGATGGAGGATTTTTCTGACTAGAGTCAGTGACTATCTTTTAAAGTGGACTAATAACATGCCTACCTTTATTTTCTCGCTATCCTCAGAGTGTGGAGGGTTGTAGAGACATGTGAAAGACTTAAACATTTTTCGTAATGCTTAATTTCTCAACAAGAACCAACAGATCCTTCCCGATCTCAAAAAAAAATTTCTGGACTGCCTAAAGAATTTAAATAAATTAACTTCGGTTGATCTACATTTTTGACAAGACCCTTTCCTTCATTAATAGCGTCTAACACCCTACCGCTCAAACCAGCACATTTTATATGGGCAATCCCATCTCAGAGCCAGCACGACGCTTTTAACGTGGCAATTGGTGTAAATACACATGTTTAAAATGATATTTATTTATAGGTTTTAGAAGCAAAAAAGCAAAACAGTTTTGAAAACGATGTATCAATTAGAGAACCAATCAGCTGGTAAAACCGGTTTGAAAGCTATGTAGCGAACAGTTTTAAATACACTGTATATTTGACACCTAATAAACACAACGCAAACAGGTGTGACAAAGATGAAACAGCAGAAATTACAAAAAGACAAAAACAGTAAAATCAATGTGCACAAACAAAAACAATATACTATATAAAACAAAACACTCGGCACATGCAATTAAGAATATCAAGTTAATTTAATCAAATTTACAGGAAATTTTCATATTTTACTTATCTTTAAATTCTGCGCCAGACGTTTATTCACACTTTTTTTAATTTTTTACTTTATTAAGCGTAAACAGCTTTATAAAACACACAATTTAAACAAAGCATAAAAAAGCACAGCTTCACAGCTTTGACGTTTGCGTTAATTTTTCTAACAATTTTTTATCAAACCACGTGTTAAAGCACTGATTAATTCATTCAGACTGAATAAATGTAACTTATCACTGGTTATGCTAAAGTTAGCAAAACGAAAGACGATAAGCGATAAAAAAATATTTTGATGCGACGAAATGCTAATAAATTTTGATAATTTGCATAACTTATCACTTAACCGCTAAAATCTTTTCGCTAAGCATTTAAAATTTTGGTGCAACGCTTATTCATGATTTTGATTGATATTTTACTTATCAATACTAATTTCACCGACTTTTCCTTATCATGTTGGTGAAACAAAAAACTTCGCGCAAGTTCGACAACTTGCTAAAATGCTACTGATAATTCGTTGGTGCAATAGGGCCCGAGTGTCGGCAACCTGCGGCTCGCGAGCCGCATGTGGCTCTTTCGGTGTAAAGGTCCGGCACTGCAGTGCCATACGCAACAATTAGTTATTTTATTATCAAAACTCTCAAAAAATATGCTATCGATCCACAAATGAGTACCATGTGAAGCGAAATCTTTATACAAACGCTGGAAAATTGTAAAATACACGCAAATAAATACGGACGCTACACAAAAGTTGCAGATATCGAAAATCTTGTGCGAAAATGCCCACAAGGCAATGGAATCGAGTTAGATAAAATCGTTTTCATAGCAAATTTTGGAGCCAGAAACATGGCCGGAATACATAGAGGGGTACCATCGATTCTTCAAATCTACGATGAAATTCTAAAATTTCGCTGCATAGAAATAGTTGAAATCATCAACGTGCTGATAAAATAGCATTGTTAACAGAATCTAGGCAAAGTCACTCTATCGGCTCCAGTTTAAATATTTCCTTGAATAAATATTCTGAATTATATCTGCACAATAAAGTGCGACGGATTTCTAGAGGAAAAATGCATTGGCTACCTCGAATTGGACTGGTTACAGAAATTCAAGTTCATCATCATCAACTTCAGATATCATAACGAAACTAATAGCGTTTTCTTTTCTCAAAATAATGTTGCATTTATTCTGCCCTGCGTCAGGGCTGTCAAGTTTTCGTNGTTTCTTTTCTCAAAATAATGTTGCATTTATTCTGCCCTGCGCCAGGGCTGTCAAGTTTTCGTGTTCTTTTCTGAGCATCTTCGCAGGCATATTGCGTAATGATCTGATAATGTTGCCATATAAGATGACTTTTTTTCGAGAAAAGAAAACGCCATAAATGAGCTGAATCTAAACCTGGAAGAACAGGGAAGCCCAGCTTATGCCTTGTTGGACGAAGTTGTTTGTGTATTATTAATTGAATTTTTCTCGCGGTTACGGACGCGACAAATTTCAAACACAAATAAAATTTTATATCCGATTTGTCGGGGGTGAATGGTGTTATTTTTTTAAACAAGTTAATAATCTCGCTTTAAAACCGGCAATAGGAAAACGTGTCGCCCTCGGCAACAAATTTTTTGCCGGTAATATAGCCATTGTCTTGATTTCTTATTACCAGTCGCTCAAAAGGTCCGCCGAAGGCAACTCGCATGGGCGAGTAGTTTTCTATTCTCTGAATAAGTCGTTTTCTTATCGCTTTATTATTATATTTGGAATAATTTTATTATCTTTAATATTTTATTTATTTCTTGTATACAAAATTGAAACTTAAAAAATAAATTCATTATTTCTTTCGCTATAGGGCTTCCTATTTTCTCGATCGTATCTTTGGCATAAATTAGATGCTTTGGATAATACTCTTGACGCGAAATTCATCAGTTTGGGATTTTTTGATAACTTATTTAACGCATGCGGAATGAAATACGAACTGATGCAGGAAAAAGAAACAGCACTACTTTCGGATGCAACAAATATTGTTTTCCACTCACATATATATTGTCGAAATTTCCAAAAGAAAAATTTTTATAGAAAAGACTCATGTCCATAACGATTGGCCTGTTTAAGTTTTCAGGTATAGTGCGAAGGGCTTTTTTAAAAGTATTATTTTGCGAATTTATTCTGCCAATTTGAGTATTTAGTTTTTTAGCCATTTATACGATAAACAGCTCAGAGTTATATTTGGGTGTCCTTTTATGGGTCCCCAATGAAAAATATTTTCCTAATCCGTTGTAAAAAACTGATATGAATGCAGGCAAGCAAGTTTTGGGAAACCGCTCATAGCCGTTTTATGTAAATTCATTCGTAACAACCAAGAATATCATTGTCTTATTTAGAGTATTCAGCATATTGTATTTAATTGTGGATATAATTTAGCAAAACTCAAAGAAAAATCATATGCAACTCACCGAGGTATAGATACAAAGTATTTTAATACTGAGTCAACATTAACATCCAGATTGCGATGAATATTGAGAAAAGCTAGCCCATTGTGTGCTCGTGCCTGCACATTAGACTGCGCCTTAGTTGTATGGAGAAAATTTTTTGTTAAGCTACAAAGCAAGACTCCGCCTAGAAATGTTCCTTTGGTCATGAAAACGTGCCCTGGGAAAAAAATTTTAAATCGGGCAACGGAAGGACGTTCCCCAAAGGCCCTAAAGTTCAGCAAATTCACGTAATTTTTCACGAAGTGGTCAAAATTGCCTATAATTCAGTGGGAAATTTAATATATTTTAATGGCACTTGATGTAGTTTCCCCCCCCCCCGATGTCACATATGACTAACCTATTTTTAAACCTCCCCAACTTTTAAAGTTATTGACGTTTTTTCCACGTAAGATTAGAATTTTCTAGGAATTCAGAAGTTAAATTTTAGCCAAGTAAATTGAGATCAAATTGGTACGATGAAAAAAATATGTAGTAGCGAAATTTTGAGGCAGTTTACTTCTATTTGCACATAGATCATGGATCCACATTCTCGCCCTTAAATTTCATACCGGAACATTCCGCCATCTTGGATTTTAGGTTTTTTTTTTGGGATTTTTGCAAGCTTATTTTGCATTTTTCGTAAAAGACGGTCGTGCACAAATTTGTAGAGAATTTAATTTTCTACATTTTTTTTATACGAACTTTACAAAAAAAAAATATTTTTTATTGTAAATAATTAGCAAAAAGTTCGAAAAAATTTTGCATTTCAATGCGTAGTATATTCAAATGTTGTAGGGAAGTTTCTCTTTCAATGTTGGGTTCTCCGGTGGCACAAAATTTGTAAAGCAAAATCTAATTTACGGTTAGTTTAGATGCCATATTTGAATTTTTGCTCATTTTTTATGTTTAACACAGCCCAACAAAAATATAAAAAAAATTTTGGTACGGCTAATGTTAAAGCGGTTTTTGATAGATTTTTTAGTGCAGATTACGAATCCGTAAGCATAAAGTTTCCATCAGCTCCAGACTTTGAAAAAAACAAGGTCAAAGTGTTAAAAAATTGCGGTTTAAACCACATCATTGTTATGTATGTGCATCCACCAAAACTAATGTTGGTCTTTAAGTTTTAATTTATAATTGATTCAGATTATACTTGCCTTCTGTAATACCGAGCCTTGATTCGATTTCGCGCAACTTTTCTTCGAATTTGGAAGCATCAGCTACAGCCATATGAAATATTGTAGACGTAACGTTTTTACCCTTGATTATAGCACCCTCATGTAATATAATAGTCACCATCTCCATTTCTGGGCGTATAATAAGTTCCTTTACTTCACCAGTGGCTAACATATGATGTACAAATTCATTCCAAGAAACATATCTTGTTGAACCCTTAAATTCAAGAATATAGTTTTGTATTTAATAAAAATTAAAAATGTACTGCATTTCTTAAAAGTGCACTAAAAATAAAAATATATATATATGTATTTGTAGAAAATTATATGAATCTCTACAATTCTTCTAGTCGTTTTTAAATTTATACCGTATAGTTTGAGTCATTTTTTTCTAATCCTTAACTCATTTTACTTAGATATTTTTCCGTTTCTCAAGTTGTCCTCCCATAATCGATTTTTCGGAAGTGCTCGCAAAACTGCATTTTGAATTTTCGCGAATAATAATTTTCATTCCCATTCCCAATATTATGCTCTTAAATTAAAGTCAGAAACTATTAGATTTTCAAAATTTCCGTTGAAATCTTCTAGTTTGACGCTATACTTACCCGTCTAAGAGAGTATGGCGTAGTTCAATAAAGGCAAGTGAAGTCAAGTCCTTCTCCGCCTGGTCAACAGTGGGCCGAGTATNTGTTTGACGCTATACTTACCCGTCTAAGAGAGTATGGCGTAGTTCAATAAAGACCCCTGTGTTGTGCAAACTGACGCTAATTGGATATGGCAAGTGAAGTCAAGTCCTTCTCCGCCTGGTCAACAGTGGGCCGAGTATCGAGACCCAAAGGCGCTGACTGATTGTTTTTGGAGACACGAGATACTTCATCTTGTCCTCGTTTAACACCGAACCGATGTCTTCGGCACACGCCAGTAATTGTACGCTCTTGCAATAAAGTGAGCGCTTTAGTTATGTTGCTATTATATTCCCCAACATCAAATTAAATAATCATCCAATAGAAAGTCGCCCAGTCTGAAACCGTTCCCAATTCTGACGGAGCTGGTGGTGTTAGGATAGGACTTTTCCAAGATTTTGCTTATGGTGAGTTTACCAAGTCCAAGATTTTATGTAAAGACATTCGCAACAACAATAATACAATTCGCCGAGATACATATAAAAATTGCTTTAATACTGAGTCAACATTAACATCCGATTGCAATGAATATTGAGAGAAGCTAGCATATTGAGACGATCTTCTTTCATAGTTGATCTCAAATAGGTTTTTAGTTGTAAAACAGGTATGACTCGTAAGTACTTGATCAACATTTGGAAAAGCATCGGAGTTACAAATGTCCAAAGCTTCAAATGAATTTTGAATATTTATACCAGAGATGCGTTTTCTCCAAAGTTAAACATCACTTGTCCACATTTCTGGCACCGAATCATGTAAAATGGGTATACGGCCAAATCTCCGGAACCGTGCTATTCAACGCTAAAAAACGTAAAAATTTAAATTGAACGCACAAAAATTAATTATACATCAAATCCATTGAAACCCATTGAGGAAACATTAAATTATTGTGTGATTTATTTCTCTCAAATGCTTAAAGAGTTATAAGTAAAAAACGATAATTTTTGAAAACTCAATGTTAGAGATACTTCTAGAGGCGCGGTTTTTGCCCGCTGAAGTGGTTTTCGAGATACAAATATTTGATATAAGTGGGCGGGCCACGCCCAGTTACCAAAAAAATTTTCCGAAAAATTAATTTTCGCTTAAGATCCATTGAAAATATAATTTTTGAGTATATATTTAGAAATTCGTAAATCGCGCTGCCCAAAGATCTGAAAATCCTTTACATACACACCTATATATTCATGGCCGTATTTTAGAAAAAAATTATTTTATGTATTTTGCATTTTCAACGAACTTTATGAAGAATGTTATCTAACGATCACGCTTAATGCAAACCTCTTATGTTTTAGGCTGTGAGTGTGCTATCAAAAAAGTTAGAAATTTGAAGCCATTCACGCCAAGACCTATTCAGAAAATATTTGTTATATTTTCAATACTTTCACAGGCACACAACTGTAAATGGTCTTATTTTTCTTATTATGATTTTTCATAAATACAATAAGGCCCTCCAAGGCATCTACATTCAATAATAAATGTAGAACTTATGAGCACTTAAGTAGAGATACATACAAAAAGTTTCTATACAAATTTATGACTTGCATTTTATGGAGTACACACCTTTTACTACAACTTTGAATCGCTCTATCTCAGGAATGGTAAACTTTAGGAAGAAAAGTGTTATAACGGTTTTGATAGACACTTTTGTCTCACCTATTTTTGTGATAAGTCTAACCATTTTGCTGAAAAATGCAAAAAAATTATTTATGTGAACTTTGACCTTGGATATATTTGAGATCGATGGAGACTTTTGACATTTCAATTGACGGTATTTGCAACGCTCGTACCAATTTTCAGCTTTATGCGAATTATTATAACCTTGAATGTCTNTTATTTATGTGAACTTTGACCTTGGATATATTTGAGATCGATGGAGACTTTTGACATTTCATTTGACGGTATTTGCAAGGCTCGTACCAATTTTCAGCTTTATGCGAATTATTATAACCTTGAATGTCTAACTTGACCGGGCTCTGAATCCTCTGGAAGCCTTCCAGTCATTGCTGAAGGAAATATTTATCCAGTTTCTGCCCGTGGCTTCGATGGCCGAAGGATGGAAAGCTATAACTGGTTGCGGGCCGATGAATACCTGGTATGAGCCCAAGTGGGCAGATGCCTCATTACCAGGTACTCCCCAATAACCTGGCACCTAGAGTAAGACAAGTTCGTTCGTTCTTGCTGACCATCGAAAATCGGTAGCTTAATGGGGTCAAGCTTCATTTCTGCCAGTCTGCGAACTGAAGCCACATCTTCCTGTGCAGCCATTTGCAACCGTTGCAGTTTAGTTGACACCACTCTATAGGCTAGTTCCATTTTTGCTAACAATGCATTGTGGGCAACAAGCTCTTCGGGCTTGGCTGCGCCAACCAACACCATGTGGTTATCCATGAACCGAGTAAAGTGCGGGGAAAGCAATTCCAGCGTATGATCAATTTCAACTACGTCAGGTCCATAATTTTCAGCTTCCACTTCGCCTTTGATCCTGAGTATAGAAGATGGTGATGCTGAGCGCAAGTTAAGTTCAGCCATCGATATTTTGATATACCGTCTAACAGAAGTTCCACGTAGCGGCAAAAAAATATACTTATATATAACGGCGAATGCGTTGCTAGCTCAACAACAGTGCAAATCCCTGGAATTTACGCTCTGTTATTTTATATGCAGATGTTCGCCAGCGCTATTGGTCAAAATAAAAACTTTGACAACGGCTGGTGAATTGCACTCGAAGCGATGATCAACGGTTTCCAAAAACACGTGTGAGATCAATCCTCACAGGAGGCGCCAGAATGTTCGCGAAATAAAAGGCAGTAGCGTTACTTTACTCAGAATCTTTATTCGGTTGTACTCGTTGCTAGTGAAAAAGCAAAATCAAAAAGACCAGCAAAAAAGGATCTGTCGTTGTCAGAAAAGTTACGAGTAAACTCGATGAACTTATCGGAAGTTAGGTTATCGCCAGGGTTGCCGACTTCTATGTTGAACTCAAACAATCAATATATTCGCGAAACCATGGGACAAATATAGTAAAATTGCGTTTTTAGTTTTTCACTCTGACGTCAGTAATTTAAGAATGATTTAAAAACTTCAGAGAAATGTGCTTAGAGAAGAAGTATGGGTATAAAATTAATCCTGTAGAATTTAAACGGATTCAAGTTTCTGGTGCAGAAGGGCTGGTAAATATTGAAAATGTCATTTTAAAATTTGATCCTTGAAATTTCGCAATATTTGAATGGTCGTCCCGAATAACGTTGTAAGCGCCAATTTACTCAAAACTAGTTTTTTTCGCAGATTACCGTTAAAAATACTCTCGCAAAATTTCTCACTTTCCATCAGTTTTCGGACCTACGCTCCAAAGTAAGTAGTGAGTGGAAAAACGTTTAAAGTGCACACGTGCAATAATGGTAAAAAACGTAAAGTACATTTGGAATGATATGAAAAACAAGAGGCTAATAAATAGTAGTGAAGAATATTCAGGAAGAAATGGGAAAGGGGTATTAAAAAAAATTACCAGAAACGGTAATGGGAAAAATGTTGTAAGTGAAGGAGCTGTGTTAATATCAATTTTGGTTTTTTATTCCCCAAATTTTCAACTGCGCTTGTTCTCATCACTGATCAAGCTTCATATTGGAGACTATTCAAAAGCATTTCTCCAATTTTTATAAAATGACCTATGATGAATAATCAAGGAAACCTTATTGTTACATTTATTACATTCATTTGTCGAAAAAGGTTGTAAGCGCCACCAGCAAGGATGCTAGGCTTACTGGAAAAACGTGTTATCATCCATTAGGATTTGGATATAAAACGTTTTTCCATCATTAAAATTTTATAAATCTTTTTTTTTGACTTGAAAGATATATATGGATATACATTTTAATTCACGGGAAATCCAATGCGAGTTTGTGTGTTTATGTGACGTAGAGTCTACGTGCGTAAATATGTCAGCGCATAGAATTCAAGCGACAGGTTGGAGTCAAATCGATGTGATTTTGTTTTTGTTTTCTTCACTATTCTCGTCGCTTTGCCGGCCGCTCATATGTGTGTATGTTTGTACGTGTGTTAAGCTACAATGCAAAAACGCGACCAGGGTCTCCATGCACTCATGTAAAGAGTATCCCTTAGGTTCAAAGAGTGCCCAAAATTAACCAGTATGCATATCGTCACTTGCAATGCAAAAAGACGTAACATCATCGTAAATGAAATGGAAAAAGTCGTGACTAANTGCAAAAACGCAACCAGGGTCTCCATGCACTCATGTAAAGAGTATCCCTTAGGTTCAAAGAGTGCCCAAAATTAACCAGTATGCATATCGTCACTTGCAATGCAAAAAGACGTAACATCATCGTAAATGAAATGGAAAAAGTCGTGACTAATATTTTATTTATTTTTTCATAAAATGATGCGGGGAGTTGTAATTCGATGAAATTTATTATATAAATCAAAAAGTGAATTTTGAATTTTTTACTAGTTATGAATTTTGTGCATTTGAACGATGAGTTTGTTACGTCCATTTGCATTTCAGGTGACGATATAAAAATGTGGTCCAATTAACATTGCGATGTCCTAGGGCAGGACCATATACTCCAGCTCTGCATTGGAGACACGAGTTGGGCCGCTACTGCATAACAGAGGAACATTTTGTAAGTGTGTACTGCAATATAGCACAAATGGACCACATTGTGCAACGATTTTTGCAGAATGGCCAATAATCATCAATACAAGACAACAATATTTCTCCACTGGTGGTACCAATAGATCGCAGGACATCCTCGATAGCCTGATAAAACCGTAATGGTAAAGCGTGACTATTTTCCTCTGGTCTCTGCGTGTGCGATAACGAGGTCATTTGGTAGGATCGTATACGCTCAACAGCTCCTGTACGTCACATTATCATGAGTAAGATCGATTCAAGGGCTACATCTCGTTTCAAAAATAAAATAAATAAATAAAAGTATAGAAAATTGTATCATGGTCGGAGAGCAACAGTATCCACAACTGAGTTGCAAGCTGAATTTCAAAGGACCGCAAATAAGAGTTATTTTCAAAATTTCAATTTAAAAAGTCAGTCAGAAAGGATTGCTCTTTTTAACATTTTGAAATTTGTATATAGCAATGTGATGCTTGTTAGCCAAGGAATGTTTATCCTATATGATTTATTTTTTCCAAAAAAGTCAGCAATTAACCGTTATATTTTGCTAATATTTTTCAGTCAAAAGTAAAAGTTAAAACTTGACTTTTGTTTTTTTTCGGTCAAATTTAAACGTTAAAATGTGACTTTTATTTTTTCGGTCGAAAATAAAAGTTAAAAATTGACTTTTATTTTTTCGATCAAATATAAAAGTTAAAACTTGACTCTTATGTTTTTGGTCAATTATAAAAGTAATAGTAAGTAATACAATATGTTTTAATAAAAAATGCACATACTTTCAATTGCAGTTTTCTATCTTCTGTAAATATATCGAGTTTCTTTAATGCCAAGCTGCCAAGTTCTGCTCCGGCAAATTGTATAACAAATCGCTAAGAATAAGCTCAGTGCTGAGAACGCGTGTTTTACACTGACTTGTGTCGCTTTTTCGGTCAAATTTAAACGTTAAAATTTGACTTTTATTTTTTCGGTCAAAAATAAAAGTTAAAAATTTACTNGTTTTTGGTCAATTATAAAAGTAATAGTAAGTAATACAATATGTTTTAATAAAAAATGCACATACTTTCAATTGCAGTTTTCTATCTTCTGTAAATATATCGAGTTTCTTTAATGCCAAGCTGCCAAGTTCTGCTCCGGCAAATTGTATAACAAATCGCTAAGAATAAGCTCAGTGCTGAGAACGCGTGTTTTAGACTGACTTGTGTCACTGGCACTTGATGTATAATACATCCCAGATCTCTAAGTCGGGGATATATACATTTTTTGCTCTCCTAGTAATCTATAAGGTCCGTATCAACATCAATGCGCNATTTTTCTATCAAATATAAAAGTTAAGACTTGACTCTTATTTTTTTGGTAAATTATAAAAGCAATAGTAAGTAATACAATATGTTTTAATAAAAAATGCACATACTTCCAAATGCAGTTTTCTATCTTCTGTAAATATATCGAGTTTCTTTAATGCCAAGCTGCCAATTTCTGCTCCGGCAAATTGTATCACAAATCGTTAGGAATAAGCTTAGTGCTGAGAACGCGTGTTTTAGACTGACTTGTGTCACTGGCACTTGATGTATAATACATCCCAGATCTCTAAGTCGGGGATATATAAATTTTTTGCTCTCCTAGTAATCTATAAGGTCCGTATCAACATCAATGCGCTTCTTCTTATAAATGCCTATTTCCATAAACGCTTTTCGATCGTAATATTCGGAAAAAGTAAAAGACAAGTTTAAACTTTTATATTTGACTGAAAAAATAAAAGCCAAATTTAAAATTTTATTTCTGACCGAAAAAATTAAAGTCAAGTGTTAACTTTAATTTTTGACAAAAAAAAAAATTAAGTCAAGTGTCAACTTTTATTTTTGACAGAACAAATTAAACTCATATTTTAACTTTTATTTTTGACCGAAAAAATTTAAGTCAAGTGTTAACTTTTAGTTTTGACCGAAAAAATTAAAGTCAAGTGTTAACTTTTAGTTTTGACCGAAAAAATTAAGGTCATATTTTAACTTTTATTTTTGACTGAAAATATATCGGTGAAAAAATAACGATTGTTTTTTGACTTTTTTGAAAAAAAAACATAACCGTTATGATTCCTGCTTGAAACAATTGAAAAATTATTATATGATGTTATAATACGTATAGGATCTTCAATTAGACAGAATAGCATCATCGTCGAATTTTCTAATTCTTTTAGAGACGTGGGTGGATAATGAGAGAGCTTTAGACATTCTTAATATTGATATAGTAGTTAATTCAATTTAAAAGCCCAATGATGAGACCAGGCCGAGCTGTAGCAAACCATAACACGAATGATGGAACTCGTATAGTTCTCCACAAATAGAACTCAATGCACAAAAACTGGAATCAATAAGGGTACTCATTTAAAAGCGCATAACTCTCGCAAACTGGGCAAACTGTGGAATTTTAAACCCTCGCAAATGAAATGTCAAAATTTGTATGGAAAGCCATTTGCACAAAAAGGGGAAACTTTGCGCGGCAATTTTTTAGCGCAACTTTGCGCAGTGTGCTGTGCAACCCTCAATCAGCTATTTTGTTTACATTTATTTTGGTTTGTGCTCAACGCTTTTTCGAAATAACTGCGGTAAGACTTAAATATTTACTCAAATTTGAGTTTCAATTGTTCAACTTTATAAATTATGTATAGTCAAATAATTAAATGTCAGAAATTGCATAAAATATAAAATTGTTCTCATGAAACACATGGCGCAAAGTTGCCCAATTGCCCAAATATGAAACTTCCGCGTATATATGAGTACCCTTACTGTCTTTTTTTATTTGCTTGTGAAAGCAGGTTGGATCATGGGAGAAAAGTTATATTTTTGGCAATTTATATTTCTCCCAATCAACCAGCAAATAAAATTAT